TTTAGTGGAGCCCCATAGCTCAACTCCGTAAGTCCAAATAGGCCTTATTATAGTCAAGTATATGAGTCTTTTGTAATTAATTGGAGGTTTAGAGCGTTTGTCTAGTAAGTGCTGAAGTAATCGGAAACGTTGAGCGGTTGCTTGTCGTTTCAGTCTAGTATGAAAATATTTTTTTTAAAATACATTTGAATATATAATGTATTTGTTTAGATTAAACACAGGGAGGAAGAAAAACAGCTTTCAACAACATTGCTACATTTCTAGAACACTTTCAGCTAAAAATTAACGATGTGAAAAATATTTTGATTTCACAATATATAATACAACCTCAAGTAAAAATGCGTTTTTCACAGTCCGGCTGATTCGCCGCAGAAAATGTGAATATATAGGATTCAATCATAAAATCCTAGGATACTTTGATGGGTTGGCTGTAACCTAAGTAAAGGTGAATATTTAAAAAAGTAATTGCAGACCTCAAAAGCTATAAAAAAAAGTTCATATAAGCAATTGTCCGATTTTCGGCAGAATAGTAGGGAATTTAAGTTCTGTGTTTTTTTTTGTTGGTTTTTTCAAATAAGTCATGGATTTTGATGAATATGAAGCGATAATTAAAATATTATTTTTCTCTGTAAAATACTATTTTACAGTGAATTAATTTTTAATTAATGTAAAATAGACAAAATTTACTTTAAATGATAGTGGTTTGTCATTTTTAAAACCATTTAAAGAGGAATTTTGAGCGAATAAACTAAATGTTTTTTTTTTAAAGTGACAGGATATAATATCACATAATTTTCTTACACAACATGAAATAAATTTAATAGATAAGTTTTTCCCCAATAAATCTAACTTAATTAATATGAAATTAAAGTTTATCAAACGAGAAAGTGTATATAAAATTGGGGTACCTGTAGTATAGTTAGAGGGTGATAACATAAATCACAAATAATGTATGATTATTTAAAACGGAACTTACCTGAGTTCAGTCACTCATAATCCTCTTTAAATGGTCTCAACAATGACAAGTTCTACTTTAATTTAAAGTAATCTTTATCTAGTTTAATGTGAAACAGTTGTTAATTACTCAAATTAAATATTTTTGTAGTTATCACTTTCTATCCAACAATAAACGTGACTCACATAAAAAATCATAAATATTGAATTTCCTCATTTTCTGCTGAGAATTAGGGCATTGTTTATATCAACTTCTCTGTTGATCTTGATGTCTACTATCAGCCTTATAAATATTTCCCTCTACTTAAAGGAAACCCTGTATATTATTATCTTTGAACATAAATAACAATTTAAATGAAAGTAATGTTTAGGTATCAATAAAATCATTACATACCTAATGCTAGCCTAGCTAGTCGACATTTCTTAATCGATTTAGCTTATTTATTACTGATTTTAATTTTGTTTTTGCCTCAAATCATTGGGGGGAGGGGGATGAAACTATATTCTCTCTCCTCTACATTATTTTTTTGGGAGGGGGGAGAGGGGACTATCACTCCCACCCCTCCTCCCCCGTTGTCAGCGAATATGCCTTACAAGAAAAATTATTATTTTTAATTGTTTTTACTTTTATAAATAAAATGTGTTTTCAGGCAATTATGTTTATTACAATACATTCCATACCACGGAAAAACAAGAAATTAAAGCTTTGCAACAGTTAATTGTAATCATTTTTGCTGAAAACACGGGTACTTTTAGGTGACTGGATAGAAAATCACATTATTTCTTTAAGCAACCAGAGGTGAATCTCATTTTTTTTTTTGTTATAAAGCCAACATAAAAAATAATTTGAATTAAAGCTTATTAAATGATGAAATTTTCCTAAAAGTAAAGTAACTGTAGTACAGTTGCAGGATGATAAATAAAAAAACACAAATAATTTATGACTTTTTTCAAATGGAACATAGATGAATTTGTCAGCTCAATAGTCCTCTTTAAATGTTTTTAACAAAGAAAAACTCTACTTTCCTTTGAAGTAAATTTTGTCCAGTTTACGATGGAGCAATGTTTAATTGCTATTCAATTAAACATCATCTATTCAATCAACAAAAAACGTGACTCGCTTAAATAAACACGAATCTTAAATTTCATTCATTTTTGCTTAAAATTGGACAATTGTTTATATGAACTTTTTTTGTAGATTTTAATTTCTACTATTAGTCTGTGGGCCAGACCCCCTTACCGTGCACCCTCCCCCCCCCCACATCCCTATAAATTGCATATTCGTGTGTTCCTTGTGACAGTTTATTTAAAAAAAAGCCAATGTTCCCACAAAAAAAAGTGAACGCACTGCCCCAAAATGGCGTCTAAAGATGGGGGATTGACGACTTTGACTTTAGTTAGTTTTTTGGTCACTGAGAATCAGCATTTGGCTTAATTTTCTCATAGTTGGTCTTTTATTAAAGCTGAATAGTCATAGAATAATAAAACATGAAGAAATATTAAAAAATAAATAAGCTTAAGCTACGAAAAACACATGTAAAGTCAATTTTGTTTACAAAAAAATTTTCAAGTCACAAATCAAGCGTCGTTTGTAATTAAACGGCCTACAATAACGCAAAACGTGCTAAAATAAAACATCTGGAGAATATATTTTTCTTTCTAAAACGCTGATTATTTTTTAAAAAATTGTTAGCAGTTCCGTAGAAAATGTACTTATGCGGCAGAAAAGCGGTACTGGCGTGGGTGCCTACAGGCCTCTACCACACCATTCAGTACACATAAATGGTGTAGTTATAGTGATATAATAACATTTTTGGTACATTATATTGGTTTTCTTAATGAACAAATATTAATACAATAATTTAATCGTAAAAAAAAATCAAAATTAAAAAAAAAATTATTATTATTTCTTTTTAATTTAACCTCCTTTATTCTATAAGTAGGTCGTTTAAGAAGACCTCAATTGTAAAAATGATATAATAATATTAATAAAACTTAATAAAAAAATACTTTGCTAAATAAATTGATTTTTTTTTATTTAACGTTTGCAATTTAACACTGTGTTTTGTATATTTACTGATTCTTAGAGGTAATTAAAATTTTTATATACTTCCCAGGAAATGAGTCATATTAATACCTGTTTTATAAACTAAAATAATATATACCTAATCTGAACTATATATAATAAATAGCTACCAGGTTGTTCAGTAAAACTCAAATATCACTAATTAAAAAATTAATTTTTATTTCCTTTATTTTGTGCGGAAGTTGGAGTATATCATAAATAAATAGGAAATTTTAATATTGAATGAATTATTCTCTCTGCACAAAGAAAGATAGAAAGGCTGACGCTATAAGTTCTTCTATAAACCAGAACTGATTGTTTGTTTTTGGTATCAAAATGAGGAAAAACGCGAAATTTAACCAGAAAATTGGAAAAATACAGTAAGCGAACGAGAAAGGAAGTGCCAAAACCTCGGAAAAGATAAAAAGGATCAGTATCCATTATATAGCTAAATTAATGTTTAGGTGGCAGATGAACAAAATATTTCAAGATGCTGCTAAAAGGGGGACAATTGCAGTTTGGATGATATTAAGTGGACGATGTATGTTTATTATGGTGAAAACCACTTTATTTTCGATTGCTGAAGGTGCACATCAGGACTATCTTCACTTTGAAGCAGGATATAGAGAAGTATATGAAAAAAGTTAGAAAATAAAACTGGCTGAACTCTGTCCAATTGGCACATTGGGTTATCTGAAGAAGCGGGAACTTTTCGAACTAGCGTCGTCAGTGTCTCCCCAGTCTATCTCCTCAAGCTGTGAAAATGTTCATTCACCAACTACACCAACTAGTAAAATCAAGCGGCACTCGTCGCTGATAATCACAGGTTCTTGGAGAGGAAATGGAAATCCGGTGTACACCATAAAACTAAAGTATTTCACAAAACTAAATCCTTAGCGTGCCTCAACACTCGCGAGGTTCCGCCATCTCTCTCTCAACCTTCTTTTGTTTTTCCTCCCAATCAGCTGTTGCCTCTTACACTGACTTAAAAATAATATTTATAACTAATACTTAAAACTAAGACTTATTATAAACAATTACTTATTATTAAAACTAATACTAAATACTTAATTTTATATTTAACCCTCGTCGAGTTAATAAAAAAAAAACTTATTATTATTTATAAAAACTAAAAATTATTTTACGAACTAATTTTTTTTTGTATTTCATTTTTCGGTACAAACTATATCTTGAATTTTGAGTAACTGCCACTCCCTTTAAACTAATAACCCCAAATTTGTTTTATATATATATTATCAGCCTGCTATATTCCACTAGTATATTTACCACTCGGATTTTAAAGTTTAAAAACACCTTATTATTTTTCCTTGTTCGATGAGCTTTATTTAGGTTTATATTAATTAAGTAAGAGCCTAGTCAGACACTGAACTTATTTATTATGTATAGGGCTCAATTTCCAAGAGGTTTTGTTATTTCATATATTTAATTTGTTAATTGTGTAAGTATAATGACCTTCATATACCTTATATAAATAAACATCTTCGTAAGGACTTATGAACAAATAGATAAATATTTTCAATGAAAAAAATAGCTAAAGGTTAAAATGGGAGAAATAATATCAGCAGGTTGAAATAAAAGTTTCGGGAAATGAGTAGTATTGTATTATAGATGTATAATATACCATTCGAAAGCTAAACATTTCATAAACATGAATAGCTAACATATAAAATCGTAGAAACTAATGAGGAGTAAAGAAAATCTAAGGGCTTTTACTTTTTATAGTTAATAATATATAACAGGCTAAACCTATGTCTCAGCAGGAATGAAGTAAAATAATAATTTTGAAATATTATAGGATTATATATTAATTATTTCGGTATTTCTCTTATGTCTAATTCAATACGTAATAAATATATTTAATGCACTTAATTCAACATGGAATATTAGGAAGTATTTACAAGTATTCAATGTGGATGTAACAGGTGGGAAAGAGCAGGAGACTGGTTGTGGTCCATGGGAAATGGAACTTGCCGATCCCACACCTTTCACTATCCAACAAGAGCCTGGGAGCTACGGCAATCTATCATCTACAACAATCACCCCTTCTAATCTAGTTATTTTCATTAGATACAACATTTTACCACTGCCGATAAAAATCATTTAATTTTTTTCCGATATTTAATACTGTTTAAATTGACAAGTATAAAATATGAACATTATGAAATCATACCACCTGATGGAGAAATACATATTGGTTGCCTTATAATGTCACTTCAATATGAAAAGGTTTTAGATATTTTAAAATACCTTGGAGAATTATCAGGAGTTAATTGCAATGCAAAGTTGAGTAGAGTGGGTTCTAATAAGTCTCCACAACTCCAATTCTGGAAGCTGAGATCAATGTTGCATCTTCATAATGACCTGATTAGAGCAATCGGGGTTTATTACAAGATGAGGTTTTTGGAGTAGATTGGAAGAACGTTTATAAAAATATATCTTGAAATAATGAAGAGAAGAATAGTTGGGGTGATCAGTGCGATTTACATCTTTGCAGTCAGCCCTGATGATGGCCTGAACTTCAGGTCGAAACGTCGGCAAGTGTCAAAATAAATATTATCATTTATTTTTGCCTTCTTATTCGACTGACCACCCCAACTATTCTTCTCTTCATTATTCACGACAGTCAACCATTTACCCACAATTATATCTTGAAATTTATTGAGACAAAGAGCAGTTACTTGCCGTTTCTGTCATGTCACTTGATTGCCGAGAAGATATCCAAGATAGTTGAATAGTTTTATGTAAATAGTATTTAAAGTATTTAGTTGACAAAGAACAGTAAACGAAGAAGAGTGATTTGATGGAATTTCATTTAATCCTGCAGTTTTCTCACCATAATTCCTGGCTTTGAATATGTTACTAAAGTGTCTTGGACGCGATAAATGAATATTCACTGATAACTCACAGAATTCATCGGTTTTAAGTATAATGCATTTTAATAGTTTTCTTTTGTTTTTGTTAATATTGTAATAGAATTTTGAGAGCGGGATAGTTGAGTGGATGAGGGGCTTTGCTCTTTACTCCTAGGAGTTTAAGCCCTGGCTGCTGCACCAATTTTATTTCTTCATTTATTAGCTCTTTATCGACCCTTGGGTCAAAAACCCTTCAAAAAGACAACCATATTTTTTTTTATTTAATAATTAATTTACAGTTCATATATTGTACACTACAATAATATACTCCAGGCGCGTCTAAAAATTATCAAGTATTGCAACTCTTTGCTAATTATTTAAGTACCAGTTTGATCCAAAGTTTCTATTTTTGCTTTACCACAATTGATTTTTCTTATTCAGTTTGAAATTCCACGGAATATAATGAAGTTGATGAATAAAAACGAAAGGAAAATCCTTTTTTTTTTTTTTTTTTTGTCTTGTTTAATCATGATTTTTAATTGTTATAAATACGTGAGTCGAGTCTTATTACAATACTTCCTCTTCATCGCAGGGGTTCCAACGCTTATGGAGTTTTTTTAAAAAGTTCCATTTGAGCAGTTTCTAGCCCGCGGTACAGGTCCTTTTTTATCAAATTATTAACACCTGCCCATCACTTCGCCAATGGCTTCATCTTATTTATCGTAAACTACACTTCTTCTCTCTACGAAAATTCTCGGAAACTGGGAGTTGTCTAATTACATTAATTAATTTAATGACAAAAAGCCCCATGTTGAAATAGAGGTCACATCAAACGGGCCAATATTTCTGTAGGCCACCTTTTTTCTCGATTTTTTTTATCATATTATCTTACGATTCAAGTGGAAAACGTTTTATTGCCGCAATAAATAGATGGTTTGCTCATGCCTCTCGTATACCAGAGGACCGAGTGGGAAGTGAAGTTGGTGGAAGAATACGTCAGGGGGGGGGGGGCCCAGGAAGACTTGGGAGGTCGGCGTTAAAGAGGCCTTTTACTGAAGGGATATTGACTGGATAAGGAGGCGGCAGTTGGCCCAGGATCCGTTTTTACTGTTCGTGTCGCTACTTCAGTTTTTTTATACAATAATTTAGTTTAATACACTTGTTGACTACAATAAAAAAAAAGAATAAAATAAAATAAAAAAATGCTATCGAGCGTGTTTTACAATTGTTTGAGTGTGATCCTAGTCATATTACCTCCATTCAAAACTGTTGACCTAGCAAACATTAATGTTCAGGTTTCTGTGGGAAAAAAAATTTAATGACATGTTACTTTTTTTATTTTTGAATAGTCTATAAAAGTTCTTTATCAATGAATTTTCAGAATTTAAAAAACCTCTGAGTGTGGTATGAAACTAAATATTAAGTTTACTTATTTTTAAATTATTGAATGTTTAGCTAAATTACAAATATATATGTATTGGTAGTAGTTGATCAACCGTGATAAATATCACATTTAGGTAGGACAATCAGAACTCAGATATTATTCATCTTTTCTTCTTTTTTGCTGGGATGTTGTTTAATATTCTTTATTTTTGTCGATAAAAACTTGCAGGTATAGAAACAATTGGTTTATTTGTTGAATTACATGTGGTTCATCAGATATTATTATTGTATTGCGTTATGTTTTTTAAAATAATCTTTCCTTTTTTCAGGACAAAGATGAACAAACACAATTAGAAATGAAACACCGAAAAGAAGAAGATGACCTCTATCGAAAATTCATTAGACAACGGGAAGAAGAAGATAAACGAATCAAAGATGAAATAAGGGTAAGATTATTAATATGAATTATTTTGAAAATCATTTTAGTTATACGCACTAAATAATCACATTAATTAAATTTTGATCAAAAACAAAACTTATATTAAACTGAAATACTTTATTTTTTTACTCTTTAAAATAGTTAAATAAATCATCGTTCATAAGTTACATAACTCACATACATTATGATTAAATAACTATGTATGTTTTAATAAACAGTGTTACAATATAAATATACCTGAATTGATTTTCTATTTTCAATAATCTCTTATATTAACGAATCTGGTATCATGTTAAGCCCCCTCAAGGTTTTATGCAAAACTTAAAATGAAACTTAACTAAGAGGGGTGAAAAAAAAAGAAGGGAATAATAGAATAAAAATAACGGGCTGTACAACAGACAAGTTGAACAAAACATAACCTGCAATAATTATTTATTTTTTTCCATAATAAGAAATGATGAAGAGAAAAAAAATGAAATCAATTTTACATTTGATTGATAATAAAATAAGAATGGCTAATAAATGAAAATTAAGATAAGTCCTCTGAATAAAAACAATAATGAAACAATGAAGAAAGAAATGATATTTATATCTTTATAAAAATGTCCAAAATTAATCAATCAAAACTAATGCTAAAATAGGCAAACATATCCTCGGTTTATTGCAAAAATTGTTTCATGTTATCAAATGTCACTTCATGACTTTTTTGCAACAAATCGACGATATTACTAATATTTAAAGTAAAAACTATATCTAACATAAGTTGAATAAAACAGGTAACGGTCAGTAGAATTGGACAAACCGCAGGAAATCCTGTCTTCTTATGATGAGTTTATATAGATAGTGTATGAGCTCTAAAAATACTTTGTAAAACTGAAAATGGACAGTAATTCAGTGATACTGCTAAAACCTAAAGAAAAATAGTGAAGTACCTGTCAGAAACGAATGCAAAGTTTTATACATACCAGCTGAGGCAGGAGAGATCGTTACGAGTGGCGATAAGACATTTGCATTCCTGAACCCCAACAGAAGTGATAAAAGAAGAACTAACGACGCTTGGTTTTAAAGTACGTCAGGTAACTAACATTTTGAAGGAAAATAAGGAGCAGCCAGGAGTAAAAATTAAAGTTACACTTCCTTTATTTTTCGTGGACCTAGAGCCATCACCTGGTGTCGAGAAAAATTATGAAATCAAGAGATTGTATTACACTATCGTGAAGATAATGAAGCCGTCCCAAGAGGAAAATCGTGCAATGCCACAATTGCCAGGCTTAAGGCCACACGAAGATTTGTTGCCACTACTTGCAGCGTTGCGTGAAATGTGGTGAATAACACAAATCAGCAGAGTGTACAAAACCGATACAAGATCTTGCCGTTTGTACCCTATGCCTAGAGGGATACCCGGCCAACTACAAAGGCTGCCAAACTTATAAGAACCTCAAATCCAGACACCAGAAGATCCGGATTCAAGATGAGACAACCAGACCAAGAAGAGAACCTTCTAGAATAGTGAATAATAATATATCATTCTCCGAACTAATTGGAGGTAAGAACCCAACTAAGAAATGTGAAGCCCTGCCGCAGCAATTGTCTCAACCCTAACCTCAACATCCAGATCATCCTAACATACGTAACTATGAACAACCTCAAATTCCTCTCTCAAATGCCAAAGATCTCACAAGTTTGTTGTCATCATTCCTTATTGAATACAAATCAATAGTTACCCTACTCATATCACTCCTTAAGAATGGTGTTAGATATCACGTCGACGAACTAACAGCTTTACTACTAGACAAGAACATTGACGTAGCCCTAATTACAGAAACTTGACTGGCCAGAAAACAGCAGAAAAATTCCACAGTACATAACATACCGTACTGACCACCCTGACGGTAGAGTACATGCTGGTACTGTTGTCATCGTACACCAATCCCTCTCTTATCACTTACTCCCATTACCTAATCAAGATTTCCTACAATCAACCGCTATCATAATCAAAACCTACTCCTTTTCGGACATTCTTGCATCAGCATATTGCCCTCCTAACAGAACCATATCCACAGTCCAGTTCAGTTCTCTCCTCAACTCCTGAGGTCATCCCTTCATCCTGGGTGTAGACTTAAACACCAAGCATCAAGAATGGGTTTCAAGAACCACGAATTCTCGTGGCAGAATATTGCTGTATGCACTCAATTTTCAACGTTTCAGCCTCCATCCACCCAACTCACCTACCTAATAACCCACTGATCCTAACCGCAATCCTGACATCTTTGATTTTTTCATCCACAGTGGTTTAGGTTCCCTCAATCATTCGCTTACTCGTCTAGACGAACTTTCCTCTGATCATAGTCCATTAATAGTTCAATTATCAATAGCTCCTATTCCTAAACCACCTCCACCATCCTTCATCAGAGGCCCAGTCAACTGGGCACTCTTTCATCAAATCCTTTCCAATAAAATTGACCTCTGAATATCTCTGAAAATCCCAGAAGACCTCAATTAAAAATTAATAAGAAAAATAATTTACCTCAATACCTCAATAGACCTAATTAGCATCAAACGAAGTGCTAGAATATTATGTCGACGCTCAAGACACCCCACCGATAATTATTATAGTAAACAATTAAAGCAGGAATTGGCCACCTTTAAATCCCAATCCTTCAACTCCTACCTTACTTCCCTCTATGTTCATGACGATTTCCTACGGAAAATCCTAAATTCCCATCATATTTCCCATTACCTCCGTCGATGCGATGGCTCCTAAGCAACGTCTGATGAAGATAATGCTGAGGAATTCGCTAGACACTTCTCCAGAACATTCAACTCTCATCCGAAATCCAACCATACCCATATCACAACAGTAGAAGAATTCCTTACATCACCCATTCCACTTTCCTTGCTCCCTAAAGCAGTTAATCCCCCTGAGGTCAAACATCACCTCCAAAAACTTCCTCTCCGTAAATCTCCTAGATACGACCTCCTTACGTCTCAAATCCTCCGACAACTTCCTCCTAAAGCTGTTATATTTCTCACATACTTATAAAATATCATCCTAAGAACCACCCACTTTCCCCTTTTGTAGAAACATCCCACTATTATTCTATTTCTAAAACCAGGCAAACCTCCCAAAACGACGACGTTCTACCGACCAATTAGCCTACTTCCAATCCTCTAAAAAATCTTTGAAAAGATCCTCCTGAAACGAATCCTACCCTTTATAGAATCCCAAAATTTCCCTTCCTATCTATTCGGATTTCGTTCACAACACTCCACAGTCCAACTAGGACTCCGAGTGGTTGATCATATTTCCGCAGTGCTGCAAGCAATATTGCTGGGGTGCATTTCTGGACATAGCTCAAGCTTTTGACAGGGTATGGTATATCGGACTTTTTTCCAAGCTGAAAACTCATCTACCCCAGTCCTTGTACCTAATCTTCCACTCCTACGTCTCTGATCGCACCTTTCGAGTTCGCTGTGGTACTGAATTTTCCGATTCCTGCCCAGTTGAAGCTGGGGTTCCTTTATTGTACATAGTTGTTTGATTTTTATTTAGTTATTATTTTACTTTTGTTATGTTATGTTTTCTGTATATATGGTGTGAATGTGTTCATATCTCGCTATAATTATTGTCCACGTGACAGATTATTATATTTCTAAATCAATAATAAAAAAAAATGTATAGAACGTCTTTGTCGATGCGATGGGTAGTTTTCCTGATATAAGCGAAACCCCGAAAAATGGACCTACTAAGCGCCCCTCCTCCCCCCCCCCCAACATCTTGAGAGAGAGAGAGAGAGAGAGAGAGAGAGAGAGAGAGAGAGAGAGAGATTCTCTTTCTTTAATACGTAAGTATGTTGTTTTGAAATAAGTTAATCACAATAGAACAGTAAATGCATTCTTTACAAATAAAATAATTTATTTATTGATTAGGTTTCACGCTAATCAATTTGCAATCACAATTCACATCTGATTTACAACAGTTCTTTTTTTCCTTAATTCATTCCTTATAACCAAAAGTTTTTCACAACTTCCGGTCTATATTTAAGCTCAAGAAGTTGCATATTTTCCTGTGGGAATACTTACCGCCGATGAATACCTTACTTCCATAATAAGAAAATAACGCTTTCTCTCCACCTCAACTGTGCCAGTTTCAAGATTGTGTAACTTTGCCGTTTCCTCAAATATTACGAGAAACAAGTTAGTTATGGGTCACATACTTGTATAATCACGTCCCTAAATTTAAAAACCATTACCCATACCATTGTTATTCCATTCCAGTACATCCTTTATTTAAATCCATTTCTACCCATAAAATTCTAGAAAAAACACATCTATTTCTTTATCTAGCCGCATATAGAATATAGTTTCAATGAGTTTCTTGGTTATGTATCTGCCTCAATTTCTTTCTTCTTATTTCATGGTTTCAATTAGGCAAGGAAATTGTTCTTTGATTGAATTGAATTGTAATAATCATTTCAGTATTTGATGATCACTAATTTACAGTAATAACCACATTATTTTTTTTTCAAATAATGATAAGACGCTTTGTTTTACAGGACGAATGGGAAAAAGAACTAGAAAGGCTAACGTCTAGGTTTGAAAGAGAAATTATAGCTAAAAGGAAAAGGCCCGAAGATACTAAAGTACTTACGCTTCGATTACAACAAGAAAGAGACGATCTAGAAAAAAATATGACTTTACGACGAGAAAGGAAAAAGGAAAGTTTGACGAAAAAACTTTTAGAACACGAGAGGTTAGTAATTTCATTTGAAAAATTTATAACTTTTAATAATATTTCAAAGTCTGTATTATATATAACTTTATATATATATATATACACACACACAGGGAGTTCCATAAGTAGCCGACCTCAAGAACTATAAACAAATTCATATAAACAATGGGCCAATTTTTAGCATAAAATTAAGATATCCAAGTTATTTGTTTTTTTTTAAGTACGTCATGTTTTTAGTTGAATATAAGGCGATAGCTAAAGAAATATTTGATTCATGTAATTAACAATCGTTTCACTGTAAAATAGACAAAACTTACTTTAAATGAAAATAGAATTTGTCATTGCTAAAATCATTTAAAGAGGGCTTAAGAGCGGTAAAGTAAGCTAAGTTCTGTATTTAAAAAATAAATTTTTGTTCGTTTTTGTGATTTTTTTTAGTTATGTGTTATATATATATATATATATATATATATATATATATATATATATATATATATATTATATGTTATATGATTATATAAGCGTTAAATGTGATTGTTTTAGTATATTTTGAAATATGAGGCATTGGCTTCCCCTCTTATGCCTCATTTACATCCATCCGATGCCACTGCTCCTCTCATATTTACTTCCAGGACAGCATAAGTGGCTGTTAGTGTTTACATTCTGACTATGCTCCTCATACGTCCCAGTTCCATTTCGACTTCAGGCAATAGAGGATCTTGAAGCAGCATCATCCATGTGCCTCATCAGTTTAATTCATCATTATTTTATTATAGTTTTCTTTAAAATATTTGAAAATACAAAAGGATACACACACTCATTCATTCATTTTTTCTTCTGTCTGTAGGTATTACCTTTACCGGTCTTTTCCATCTCTAGGTTCATGTCCCTGTCCTGGCCTGCCACCTACGGAATTTCAAACCTATGCCAATAATTTGTCCGGATCAAGAACCGGAGGTATTCAGCTCGCAGAAGTACAGGGCCAGGTACATGGTCACATGACATACGGAATTTTGAGTCAATAATTTGTACCAATAATTAGAATTTGTACCCCTCAGGAACCGGAGATATAAAGCTCATCATATTGTTGGGCCAGGAACATTATGGCCCGGCACAGATGGAATTTCGAGCTGAAACCTATGCCAATAATTTGTACCAACAAATATTAGTAAAAATCAGGTCAGTAGAGGATTCAGCTCCCGAAGAAAAAAGAAGCAGCAGAAAGAAGGAAAAAAATCCAAAAAACAGGCTATTTAAAAGAAAGAGAAATGTAGGAAAATTCATCCTCTAAGACGAATTTTATAATGTGATATTATTATCGTGACCAGGCATTAACGGATCCAGCCGGGGAGCGCGCCCCTCTCTGCCTCAGATGTTGGAAAAATATATTCCAAAAAAAGTTCGAAAAAGCAGCTGAGTAATGAAAAGACAAACATAGGGAAAATTCATCTTTATATACGATTTTTCTAATTTAATATAAACATAAATTATTGTCGTGATCATCATTAGCGAATTCTGCCAGGGTGCACCTCGCCCCCAAGATGGTGGATAACAAATTCCGAAAAAATTCCATAAAGCAGCTATTTAAAGAAAATAGAAATATAGGGAGAATTCATCTTCAGTGAAGAATTTTCTAATGTGATAAAAAAAAAGTGACCACTTTTTTTAATCTTACGGTTTGTCATATCACGTCCCCTCACCAGGTTGTGGATCAACTTACGCTTTGACTTCGGTGCACGGCGAGACTTTGTGAAACAAATAATAGATGTAAGAGCTAAAGTTGGCTCGCAGGGTGAAGTGATGCAGTTTTGGGGCCACTGCACATTGGAGCGAGTAACGGAAACTTGCGATATCGGCTAATTGTTTTTTTTTGTTGAACTATTCAATAAAAACAGTGAAAAATGTATGTTCTGCCAACTAAAAATATTCTCACGAATAACAGAAGGTATCAATAAAACAGTTTATCTAGTTTTTGGGGTTTTAAAAAAATAAAAATAAATAGATTAAGCCGACGTCACCTGTTTTCCTACTGGGCGCCGCGGCGGAAAAAACTTGGCCCGCCTTAGGCATACCACTTTAAAACTCATATAAGGGTCATTTTATATGTCATATGTAATTTCTTATTCCGAATCGAATGAAACAAGAAGTAAATCGGTAGCTTTACATGTTTTTGTTATTTTAGGAATATTATGTTTTAAATTTTGAAGATTAGAAAGATTGAAGTAAAAGCTAACTTAATATATGTTTAAATATATTGATTTATAATAATTACATAATATGGACCTAATGGTTCAAGCACAGACATTATTTTTTTTTAAAATCGATATTATCCGTCGAAAGAGTATTGTTATAAATTGTTAATATTGTTGTGTTTTATGATGCCGTAATATCCCTGGTCCGCCAATTTTACGAGACTTATATTTCCGGTTCCTGGAGGGTACAAATTCTAAAATTTTGGTACAAATTATTGGTATAGGTTTCAACCCGAAAATTCAGGTGGCGGGCCATAATATCCTTGGTCCGGCACTTTTACGAGCTTTATATCTCCTGTTCCTGGTTGGTATAAATTCTAATATTTTGGTACAAATTACTATAAATTAGGTACAAATTATTGGTATAGGTTTCAACTCGAAATTTCATAGGTGTCGGGTAATAATGCCTTCTAGGTGACTGCCTTCCTGATGGATTACTCCGAGCAAACCCTGCACATTTTGGCTTCATCTCATAAGATATTGACTGTCCGATTTCTGTATATTTTTTTTCTTTCGTTAACAGCAAACACACAAAAAAAGGAATTGTTTTGTTTCCTACATTTTTTAGAATAGAATAGAATAGAAAAATAATTTTATTCTGGGACGAAGTCCCTTCAGAATAACAAAAAAGTACAGAAATTTTAAGAAAAAGTAAAGAAATTTTTACGAGCTAAGACATATGAAATTTGTATGACCAGACTCATGATTTAACTAAATCCTACAGAACTGCTCATGAAACGGTGTAGGTTTAGGGGGAGGGATATCTCTCGACTTCCTCCTACAAGAAGATGAACCGAAGCATATTTTATAAAAAAAAGCCTCAGCAAGTCTTCGACGGTGGTAACTAGTAATGACTCTAGTTTGAGGAAATAATTTCCTAACGCCTATTCACGGTAGGAAGCGGAAATGGTCCCTCCCTTATTATTAGGTGTCACAATTGCTCACTGGCCATGGGGAGTTTCGCACTATGAGCAATGCTTTAGGGAAGGACATTAATCCCCTATGTCTCAGTTATGGTTTTCTGGAAACTGCTGAGAATATCGTCACTGCATGCACCGCTTTTGAGAAAATAAGGGCCAAACCACCGAGGGAAAATGGTTAATACATTCTGTCTGGAGGTAGATACCCAATTATTGGTCCTAGGAATGTCGATGCTTCCAGACAGTATAACTGTATTTTATTTCATCTGTGACAAATATTACAAAAAATGACGAAAGAGCCCATCAGATTTTAGCCATGAATCGCTATGAAAATATGGGATTGTAAGTTTTGAAGATGGGAATAATTTTCTCGAAACTTAACATGTAAATCAACAAATAAACCAATTATTGTATATCTGGAAGTCTTCATTGCCGAAAAAATTGTGGATGCTACATTTTTATAGACGACGATTTCCCTGAAATTATCAAATATAACTACCCGTTCTACGAAGTTTTCGTGTACAATTCACTGAAATCAGTGAGGGATCATTTCAACCTCCAATGAATTTGAAGAACAAAGAATTAAGAGAATGAGTGGTAGGAGTAGTGCGAAACTTGTACGAAAAATCCGGTTGCTGAGTGGCAGGAGAAGATTTGATTAAAAAAAATATATAGTAAATAGAAATAAGATAAAATGAAATATTAAAAAATAAATACCTAAACAAAGTAAAATAAACATAAACTGTATATTAATCGAATTTATTAAAATACATAGTCATGTTTCTATTTTATTATTTAATTGTGGTATTTTGTTAAATTTTTCAGTGAGATAGATAAATATATCTATATTTATTACAAATATTTTTAACATGTCTGTAATTAAGCCACCATGCTGTTTATTATAAATTATTATAAATTATTATAAATTTTTTTTTGTATTTTTATAGGGCGGCGACAGCGGCTTTGGTTGAGAAGCAGAGCAGGGAGATGTTAGAACTTATAAACGAAAAGAGATCGCAGTACATGATGGCCGAGAGTATTTACCTGGAGCCCCCCGGGCAGGAGGAGATGACCCCCTACCCCAGCGAGGCCCCCAGCCCCGCCCCCCCGCTCCTGGCTAAGTACCATATTTATTCCCATCCCGATGAATTCGCTCACGTGGATGAAATCGCTATATCAGTATGTATTATTTGAAAGCTTATTTATCTCTAATAATAATTGTTTGCTATTTTTTTTTGTCATCAAATTTATTTTAATTAATTTAAAAAAAAAGAGTTTAGTAAAAACTAAAATGATGATTCGACGAATTCGAATGAAAACAATAACAATATATTTTAGGTAGTAGTACTACAAAAGAACATATAGCTTTAAAAAGTACATAAAGTAATTAGGAAATAAATGGAAAAATCTAAACCATAAAATCCTGAGTGGGCCATAAAAACACTAGCTGAAATTAATAACAATAATACTTTATTTATTCTGGGTCAAGTCCCTTTAGAATAATATACAGAGACAGAAATGTGGTTAGGTTTTAATCCAAGCCATCCAACATTGATCCTCTAACATAGAGGTGAACAGTTAACCCGCCAAAGTTTCGCCAATTGAGGCCTCACCAGGATAGCAAATCCAAGGTCACATATCTGCAGAAAGGGATCTCACACAAAAAGGGAAGTTGCATAAACTCAGAATAGAAACTATATTTATACTAAACATAAATTGATATTAAACAACTGATTAGAGGAAATGATGGGAAAATAAATCTGCTTACCAAACACTAAAAATATAGCAATATATAAATATGTTAAATAAATAAAAATAATAATAAATTAATAAACACAAAACAAAATGTTCCAAGGTATATATATATATATATATATATATATATATATATATATATATATATATATATATATATATATATATATATATATATATATATATCTTGGTTATATATATATATATATATATATATATATATATATATATATATATATATATATATATCTTGGTTGAGTATGGAGGTTATATATATATATATATATATATATATATATATATATAACCTCCATACTCAACCAAGATGGATGATTTGTTTTCTTTCTTTTATTTTTCTGGTAGCATATATGTGCTTTTCTGCCCTGATGATGTCTAAATCGGCGAAACGTTGGCAGGTTAACTGCTTATCTGTATGTTAAAGACCTTCTGTATCTGTTTGTTAATGACCTACATGGGTTCGAATCCCGGCTCATGGCAGAAAAATTATTTATTCTATTTTAACAGCCGTGGGGCGACCCTGGGATCAGAAGAATCTCCTGGGGCTCACCTAGCCTCTATGAAGTAGGTACCCTTAATTAAATAATTAATTAAGAGGCAAAACCTGGCGGTTGAGCTTGATCTCAGTCCAGGGGTACCCATCTTCCCCAAGTTGATGGCGCAGGAACCTACCTCTCCCCCCCCCCTCCCTTCCCAAGGTATTTTACTACTCACTTTTCTTAAAACAGAGCAAGAAAAAGTAGAATTAGAAAAATCGTAGATCATACACAATTATACTTGTTGCTGTCTGTTCTATGGTTTCCTTGTCCCTTGTTCTGAAAATTTTCATTTCAAAAATTCATAACCCCGTTAAAATGAGACCCCATCAAAAATTAAAAAAACCGTCAAAATATGCTCCCTCAAAAATGTTTATAGCCCAACTTGCGCCATAAAACCCCCTTTTGGGGATCCCTATCTCTGTAAAATCACCTTCTTGTCCAACCGTTGACTCAGAAACAGTACTTTTCCTAAATAGTACTGAACCCAAGACCCTTCACGGGTTGTATTGGTTCTGGTTTATATATGGATGACTATTGCATCATTATTTTCATGATCAATTGTAGAGCTTTCCTATTTACAAACAGGCCAATGTTAGTGATAAATATACTCATGTTCTTGTACCTATGACTCCTAGCTAAATACAAGATTTACTTATACCCCGAAGAATTCGCTCAAGTCAAGCACAATGGTCCCAAATGGCGAAAAACGGACATATCACTATTTTTGCCAATTTTTCTGTAGAGCCTAACTACCAATAACCACTTTTAGCAACAGATCTAAGGTATTCATAACCAAATCCACAACTTCACAAAGATTAACAAAACTTTTAAAGTTGCACAGTGGTCCCGAATAGCATACAACTGACAAATTACTTTTTTTTTTAAACTTTTCATTAAATTCAAACTACCAATATCCACTTTCACCTATTAGGATAATCAGAACCAAATTGCTAGGGCGCTAAAAAAAGTTTTTAACTCGTAAATAAAATGTATTGAAAAAAGTTTACAAATTTAACTAAAGTTGCTCAACCAAAAATTTTAGTTTTTGTGGGTTTCTAATTTTATCTTCTTCTTTTCGTTTTTTAATCTTCTTTACTATTTTTTTTAACAATATGAATCAAACAATATTGAACCATAAAATATTTGTAATTGTTGAAATTTGAACGAAACTCAAAACATTTGCTCAACTGTAAGACTTCCACAACCTTCCTAATTTTTAAAAACTAATCATTTAGTCAGATTTTACAGCAACAATAAGCAAACACCTTCCACCGGATGCCATTCCCCATTTAAGACTTTTTAGAATTAATATTTTCTAAAATCAATTAGATGGAGTGATTAGTTATGTAGTGCCTTTTTTCCAATGCCTTAGTGTAGAAATAAGTTAAAATATGCACTTTACTAAACACTTTTCAAGTCTTTCAGTCGATATTTTGCATGTACCGACTATTCGGATTTTGGAAAATGCAGTCAACTTTTAGGCTTAACTTTAGAATTACGGTGCGTTAAACATTGCATTTTTGTAAAGTAAATTCTATTGTTTATGTACAAGTTTATAATATACAATGATTTCACATATGATAATGGATGCCTAATCTTTATATTCAATCAAATTAGATTCCGTTATTGAATTTTAAACATTGCAATACATTTTATAAAAGATGTTATTGTATGATTCCATTAAATTTTTAATTATTTAAGTGACCATATCTTTTTGTCTATGTTCATAGGACTATGTTACTTGCTGTGTGTGCGTTCTAATTTTCTGGTGTTAAAACTTTGGCATTCGAATACTGTATTTATTTTTTTTTAGCCCTATAAATTTTGGACATTGTCTGGTTTCACCGAAATATGTATATATAATATATTGTATAATTCTAATTGTATGTATTAGTATATTATAGTATTGATATTGTTTGTGCTGTATAATAGGAAAAATTATTTGTAATTTATAATTTGTATGTCCAAAAAAAAAGGATTGATGAATATAGTGTGTATCGAGCAGCCCTATACAGTAGGGCAGCACTGCTTTAAATAAAGTATTTCTCTCTCTTATATTTTTAGATATTTCAAGTGGCATGCTAAAAAAGTTTCAAGTGTTACTGCAAAATAAATTATATTTTATACTTCTTTATCTAAATAAGAAGAAGTAATCAAAATTAATTTAAAATAAAGTCATCAGAAAAATGTAATAAGTGAAATTTTGATGAAATAATGTTTTATTATCTTCATAATAATCAGTCATCTCATAAACATTTCGTGATTTCTCATAGATATGCCTGTTTTGAATTGAGACCCGCTATATTGCTAAAACGGCCCACTGTCCCCCGCCGAATCAGCCTTAACGGAAACTTCCCACATTCGCTTCGGTCTCCCCCTCCAACGCTTAATAGTCAGCATAGTAAATATTTTAGGGATTCTTTCGTTACTAGGACCAACAATTTTGGACGACCATTTTATTCGTCGAAATTTAATCACCTCAATTACATTAATCGGATACACTTCACGCAATTTGGCGTTGTGTAACTTTCTTTAGTCCTTTATTATTCTATAATGAATAATTATAGAAGGAAATGGCGAGGACACAATCTTTAACTTTGGGACATTGTTTGGACTAGTAAGGAGGTGAACAACAAAGTTCATTATAATATTTTTTTTTTCTGGAAATTCTTGGAATATACATACAAAAGTTATAACTGATCTAACTCATTTGAACCGTTGAGGATAAACTAGTAAAATAAAATGTATTCTTAAAGAGGATTTTATTATTGAAATCTTTCCTCTGCACGACTTAATCTTAAAACGAAGCAATCAAGAGTTAGCTAGAGTTTTCCTGATATAAGCGAAAACTCGAAAAAACAGCAATAAACAGATGGCAATTTTTTTTTTTCAAAATTAGCCATAGTTGAGGACGGCTATCTCGGAAACTAAGCGAAATAGCGAAAAATGTGTAAAATCAATCATATTGCAAATTTTATCAGCTTTAATTTCGTACATAATGTCTTTGTAGATGCGATGGATTGCTTTCCTGATAAAAGCGAAAACCCGAAAAAAGTGACCTTTTTGGTGCCCTCCCCCACATCTGGCTCACCAGCTAGGAGTGGGCACTTTTATTATGTTTACCTCCTTACAAGTCCAAACAATATGCCGAAGTCAAAAATTGTGTCGCCGCCATTTCCTTCTATACCCCCTTTTCAATCATCCATTGACTGGACTATTTATTGTAATTATCCTGTTGACACATCTCTCTTCGGTCGGAATGTTCTGCACAATACTTTATTTTCAAAAACTTTAAGACATTGCTCATCTCTTAATGTCAGCGGCAACGTTTTGCATCGATAAAGAACTGTACGTAGAATATTTGATTTGTAAATAATAAATTATAAAAATAAATAGATAACCCTTCGGATACATTGTTTTCTGTAAAAATGTATTCATTTTTTCCGTTTACTGAATAAAATTTGTCATTTCGATATATTGGCTCCTTTAAAGAATTTTTTTTCCGTCGGATGAACAACATTATTCATCAATTTAAAAAATCAAGATTAAACAGAAAAAAATATTTTTGTTTATAGTTTGACATCTGTAGTTAAGATTTTATATGAGCGTAAAATGTATCAAATTATATCTTACTTTTGACTAACGTTTTTTAGATATGACAGTATCATATATATAATTCATATGATTAAATTAAATTAAATTAAATTTTAGCCTAATTCGTGGGATATATTCGTCAGAAAACCAGCTGAGATAACTACAAAAAATCCATATAATCAAGCATATTTTATCACAGTTGTGCAGGGTGGCAAAATATGTGATTTTTTTTAATATAATAAAGGGGTCTACAGAAACTAAAATATGGATATTTAATGCCGCTGATTTAGCCGGATCCAGATATCTATTCTTTCATGATAAACACCAGTCCCATCCAAATCCTCTTGATTCCACCCTCTTCGATTCCTGATAATCCTCCTAGGCGTCTAAAAAGGAGATCTTCTTACCTAGAATTATTTAGGGAGTGCTACCAATGAGTAGTATCTCTTCAAGCCTGTTCATGTCATTATTTCTAATTTGTGCATATTTACTACTAGTATTTGTTTATAGTTGTAACTTTCATTAAATAAACAAAAAAAAAATACCGTAAGAAAAATAACAACATTTAAAAATCTAGGGTACCATCCATTTTACGTAGTAAATAAATTGTCGATTTTTAAACAAATGAATAGTAAATAAATTTTGAAATTGGCGATATAAATATTTTACTTTAGTTAATATAGAAAATATAGTATGCTTGATACCTAGAAATATTAAATGAAAAATCCCAGAGCTAGGGAATTGTGACTAATTCGTCGTAGAGGCGTATTTTTATCCAATTATTAGCAATCTCGTAAAACTTGCTGAGTGGCTTCTTGTTATTGTAGCCTAGAACTTTTTTATTTACGAAAATTCTCGTGAAAAAAGGCATTTTCAATCTGAATGTGGCTAAACTTTGTCAATTTAGATCTAACTAAAAACTCATCAACACGCCTTTGCTTTTCACTTAAATTTTAAGATAATTTATTACAAATATTAGAAAAAAATGTTGCCTACAAAAATATTGGACCGTTTGGCCAGCGAGTATAACCTCATTTTTCTTTTACATGTTGGGAATGGAGGTCACGCCAAACTGCCCATTATTTATATAGGCAATTTTTTTTCTGATTTTGAAAAAATTATATTATAATAAAGTTTTTAGTGCATCACTATATTGACTTAAATTCACCGACACCCAGAATGAAAATACCCCATTTCCAAATAATTTCGTAAATATAAAAATTGTTGGTTAAGATAAAATGGAGCCATTGACGTAGTTATAGATGGGAATTAATAATCGGAATAAGCGGGACCAGTAGCGCGGGATAGAGCTCAAAAATGGTGTTTGAGAGCACTATATCACTATATTATTAAAGCGTATTTATTTATCTTCGTAATTATTTGTGTTTTTATTTATGTTTTTTTTATCATCTTTTTTTGTAATATGGGCTTTGTTAAATAAACAAAAGAGTTCAGTAAAAACTGAAATGATATTTTTTTTTTTTGAAACCGAGGAAAGCAAAAATAAATGAAAAATAACACATTTTATACAGAATTGGCATTTTATTAAATTACGTTTTCGAATATACTTGCGTGTGTACTTTTATCAGATATAACTTACAAAATTTTAAAATAAAAAAGAACCTTGAGCTTGTGTTGTTTAACTTGAAAATTGAAATGCGGAAAGAAAAGAGATGGTGTAAACTTAGGGAGGTTAGCTATCAAGTTGAGGTTTGAGCTACAAGGCTAGTTGGTGGCTCATTCATCTATCCTCCCAACTCCTAAATGATTCCCCTTAAAATTCTTAGTTAAACCTCAATTTACACCGAATACATATTTATCTTCTAGTCAAGTTATTAAAAAACTGAAATTAATTTTAGGTTGCTCAAGAAGACCAAAAAACCTTTACCGATTTAGTGCGACAACTTGTTGGAAGGTGCGGTTCAGACATAGAAAAAGCAAGGTATTTTATGTTTTTTTTCTTTATAATTAAAAAAAAATGCATGCTGTGAATTATATCGAAGCAAACTTTGGGTTATGGTTTATGTTTATTTTTTTCTTTCTTACATCGGTCGTAATTATGTGCTTCAGCATTACGCTACGTAAATATTCGCGTGTTTTAAATTTATCTTAAAATATTACACTCACAGAAACAATTTTATCCTGCTATTATTCAGTTATCACATTTTAATAATACTTACAATTGACATTTTTATAAGGATCACATTTTATTTGAGGAAATAATAAAAATAAATAACAAAATATAACCTGTTAGTGTACTGAAAAGGAAATTCAACGGTATAAATAATACATTGCAAAAAAATGAAGTTATCGGAATAATACTTGTGTGTAAAACTCATATTTATAACTATGTACTTTTTACATTATTCAATAGTTTATTAGATTTAGATCAAAAGAATATACAAAGACAAAACAGAATATTAAAAATACCTCTGAATTATGTGTTTCTTAGCATCGGTCTTTATTTACTCGTAATTTCATCTAACGGATTGGAATCAATGGTAGGATCAAAACTTAAAAAAATTGTATACAATTTTGCAGGTATCGATCAGGACTGCTTATTCTGCTGATTTTAGATACACCAAATCGAGTCCAACATCTTGAGTACCCTCTATTTTGCTTTTCAATATTAGACCATTTGAACATATGGTTATTGGTGTTATTTTTACTTTTTCTGAATGCTATAGTGTTTTTAACTCCAAGGAAAGTTCTTGATATTTTCGAGTTATTGCATCCATTGGTTACATGCTGAATAGATTCATGCGTCTTTGAGCATAGTTAACATCTATCCGTCACCAAGTTTTCTTGGTGTTTTCTATATCATATTTGCCCTGACTTTAACCATTCAACTGAGAATCAATTGTCAATCTCAGCCTCATGTGATTAATAGTAAAATGTCCCATGTAATTTCTTTTCCTTCCATATAATTATTTTTATTATTTTCGAATATCTTACTTCCTTGGCTTTTGCCTGAAAGATTCACCTACCCGCACCAAGGTCAAGGGTTGTGCTGAAAAGTTTAACTATGCTTAAGAACTTTCTGACAATATTGGCTATGCTGTGAACTGCTTTTTGACCTTCTTCCACCACTTTTCTGGTAGCAATTTTCAATAGAGCGAATGGCATCATCTGGGATGAGGCCATCGGTGGAAATTACAATGAGATTTACCTATACATGATATACATATGCATTATACAGTCCATAAAATTGCCAAAGCCCTTGGCACAAATCTTGACATTTTCTTATCTTTTTGGAAATTGTCTTTTCAACAATATCATCGGTTGGGACCGCAATATCAATGACATAGCCACTTTTTGTGTTTCGATCAATTAATATTATTTCTGCTTTATTATTTACCACCGTTTGGTCTGTAATTATAGATGGATCCCAAAATTTTATTCTATATTCTTCTGACAGTACCATCTTAGACTCATATCGATGATAAGGAATCTGGTCTGCTATCAAGTTATTTAATGAAGCCAGTTAATTCCCGATTGAGGTAAAGCATTGGAAAATTGACCGAGACTAAGCGATTTTATTGCTGACCATACAGGAGAGTTTCTTAATTGAAAAGTACTTCTTAAATCATTTTATATTATCATCTCTACATTATCTTAATTAACACACAAGTCCCTTTCCTACTTTCGAGGCAAGTAGTTCCTCTCAATTGAAGATTTGGGATGTCGTTTCCTGGCTAAGGTAAAAAAAAACTCTTACCAAACGATTCATTTCCTCCAGCTCCGTATTAGACCACTTTAGAACGCCAAAAGTATAATTCAACACAGGGATATCCCATTTATTTATTGCTTTAATTAAATTTATTATTAATTGCTTTAATTAAAATTATTAAATTTATTTATTGCTTTAATTAATTACCAAACGAGAGGTAGATTTTGAGCAGTTTTTTTATTATCTTGTTTAATTATCTTTATCATTTTTCTTGAATTACAAAAGTAGGCCGGAACCTAAAGATTTATGAGAATCAGCATTATTTACTTCATTTATGGTCCAATTATTAATCAGTTCCATATCTTCTTTATTCATCATCTCACCCCTTTCAACATGAATTACATCAAACTTATCGATACCCAAAGTCATGCCTATATCATTATTAAATAACTTTTCTAGTTCTTCTTCACCCTTGGAATACAATTTTAAATCGTCCATACACAGAGCATGAGATATTCTGGTTCAATTTTTATCATGCCTGTAACCCATTTCGGAATCATTTAACAACTCACTTACCGGGTTTAATGCCAGACAAAACAGTAATGAACTTACAGAGTCTCCTTGAAATATTGCTCTATTTTTCAGTTACAAATCTTAGAACGACTAAATTTAGCCAAGTGTAATTTCGCCTTCCAAGTGGTCATTAGATGTTCTTATCGGTACGCTATTTTAATCTATACTTTGTATATATTTAATACTTCTATCAGCCACTTGTGCGGTATTGAATGTATGCCTTTTGGTAATCAATCCAGGCGTTTCGCTTTTTCTTCTATATCTGGGAAGCTATGAACGAATGGAAGCTGTGAATGAACCAGCAGCTCCTTACATCCTTTGGCATCCTTTTAGCATTCTAGTTGCTCTTAGGTCATGATGTTATGCTTGTTGGCATGGTCTGATATTTTACAACTGATCATAGCCTTGAACAATTTATAAGCCCCATTCATGCAGGTGATAGGTTTATGAGATAAGTTCAAGAAGTGCCTTAGCAGATTTAGGAATTTAATATGTTATTCCTTTACACAAGTCTTTTGTTGGAATAATGGTATCAGCTATTAGTTTTCTGTAATAAGACATTAAATTGAGAGGAACACCCTATTCAGTCTATTTTCAGCCTCAATTCTATCTTCTTAGCTTATCAAGTGTATCTTCTTAGCCTACAAACATACGCAGTCAATTTCTGTTTAATGTTATCGAAATAAATGTTCAATTTATCTATTAATTCTGACTCTTGTACAGTTCCTAAATGGAAGAGTATAATTTCATCAATTTTTATCTTAAGTTTAAAGGTTGCTGCATTGAGGTGTTAAATAACTTGTCAATATTCTAATTTCTTTGAGTATCTCTTCAATTTTAATTTTTAGTCTTCTTTTCTATGTTATTAACTCTTTATTCTCTTCCTGTTCCATTTTTTTTCTACTGATATTCTTTTATTGTACGTCATTCGGTAGTAACTGATCTTTCTCCAACATATACACAATGACGGATATTATCAGGAATGCCTTCAAATTTGAAGTTTTCTGTCAGTAACAGCGTTCTTATTCTATCAATACTATTTGATATATTTATATTTACCCAATTTACTTCCATTTCTTATACGGTGTGTACGGTTAGTGGGAACCCTCATTTTTACCTGCTTTATTCCTACTTCTTGAATAGGGACAAAATTATTGACAATTTCCTGCTTTATTACCGACAATTCGGTATTCGAAAGACACTTTTGTTTAATGATTTGCTTGGTTTAATCTACCAGGAATACCTCATTCCAATATTCGACAATCTTGCTTCGATAATCTGTTTTATTTTTTTATTTATGTTTGTGGCCAAATAATAAACACGGATGGCTGCTCTATTCATTTCTCTTGTCCATCTTAAACGTCAGTGCTGAATTCTTTTACGGTTAGGACCTCTGTTTCGAGGCAATTTTGCAACTTCTTATCTCCATTTTGTTGGGAAGGTTACATTTCTAACTTTCAGCCAGGTCTTCTTAGTGAAAATAGACTAAGGTGTGTACTGTAGATGTGCTTGTGTCAGTGTTTTTGTGTAGTGTTCCGTTATTCTGTTAGGGTGCTGTGTATTGAGCATCAAGACCCAGGGGATCGTCAAGCACTGCATTCTGTAACACTTTAAACATTGGTAATGGTGAGTAAATAGCTCATTCACACCATATCTACAAACAATATAAATAAAGTCTGTAAAGTAAAATACAAGCTAATTACTTAATAAATAATACTTTATTAAAAAATAATAAAATTAAATTAAAAAAAATAAATTTAATGATAAATAGAATAAAAAAACATATTTCACTCCAGGCTTGCCTCCTCCCCCCATTCCATCCGTGAAGAATGAGCATTACTCCAGGAGATCCCAGAGCCTTACTGAACCGCGTCACTGGTATTAGAAGCCAGTGGAGATTTAACAAAATTTATTCATGACTGTTCAGTGTTTTTCCCTAACAACTCTAATTACCCGACACTATGTACATTATCGATTAACAATAGTAATAACAATGCAATATATTAAAGTTTACATAATACTAATCTTTTTTTATCTCACAATTATCAGATACGAATTTATTTTCAGGACTATATTTCGATGGATTACAGTTAAAAATCTGAACACGATGCAATTCGATGAAAATCTCCGAGGTGATACGCCAATGGGTCTTCTTAGAGGAATCAAGCATGGGACGGAAAGTTACCATGTTTTATTTAAACGCTTATGCAGGTAAACTTAAAGAATATCTTTATTTAAACTTTATATAACATTAGATTTCAAAACATCTGATTAATGAACAATATTATTGCTTGATCCGTGGAAATAATAATTCGCATAAAATATTTTGGTTAGCGAAACACCGACCAAACAATAAACAAAGATAATAAAGGAAGGAGATGGTCCGGGATGGCGGTCATAAATAGACTAAATAGTGGCAAAACTATTTTATTAAAAGCCAAAGTTTCGACCTAACTTTGCAGGTCTTCTTTAGGGAGGGGTGTTCAGTAAGGAGTTTCACTTAGAATTGTTCTAAGTGAAACTCCTCTAAGAACTCGCAGTTCTAAGTGAATCTCCTTGCTGAACACACCTCCTTAAAGAAGACCTGAAAAGTCGGGTCGAAACGTTGGCTTTTAGTAAAATAGTTTTGCTACTATTTAATCTATTTATGACCGCCGCCCCGGACCATCTGCTTCCTTAATAATACAACGGTCAACTATTAAGTATCCAAAGAAATATAATAATTCTACTTGTACAATTTCAAATTTCAACATTTTTGAGAAATGTGATTTTAGTGATATTTTTAGTTTAAAAAGTTATATCTATGAAGGGAGTAAGTAGATTCCAGAGTAGGTGATTGTAGTGTTGAAATATAGAACTGTGAATAAAGGTATACATTTTCTCTCTAGAAACATCACTAAAATCAATAATGAAGAATATTGAAATTGGAGTTAGTCATTCTGACAACTTAAAGGCCCATATATGCCTAGAGAGATCTGAATATTTAACCTAGAAATGATTATGAATTATAGAACTATAAGTTATTAAACTTTGGCAAAAATCAAAATACCTTTATGTTTTTTTTTTTAAATCTTCTTGGTTACTCATTATCATGTTTTATTCTAAGCCTGATTATTTCTGTGTTTAGTTATGCTGGCCTCCATTGTGTTGTTATTAAAGGCTATTCTAAGTCCGCTGGATATCAACCGGGAGTTCATTTTGAAGACAATCGATTTCGAAATTCTTGGAATGCAGTGTACGTGGCAGGAGCATGGAGATTCGTTCAATGCAATTGGGGTGCACGTCATCTTGTCAATGCGAAAGAAATACCGAAAGCAGGCACTAAACTTGCCAAAACCGATAGTTTAAGGTAAAAGTATTTCCTTCAATATTATTGATGTATAATTCAGATAAAAATATATTATTCTTAATAATATTAATAGCCATCATTAACATTATTTTGATTTGTTTCTTTATTTACAATTTATCTAATTCATCATCATTTTTATTTATCTTTAGTATCTGTTTAAAATTCTTTAAATTATATCTAATTATATACCTCATATAATATTCATTTTTTAAAATTATTATTGTAGGTATGAATACGATGATCATTATTTCTTAACTGATCCAAGAGAATTCATTTATGAATTTTTTCCACTTCAATCCGAATGGCAACTTCTGAAAACACCCATAACATTGCAAGAATATGAAGAACTGCCATTTGTGAGGTCATTGTTTTTTAGATATGGGCTTTATTTTCCAGATTCCCATACAAAGGCTGTCATGTATACAGATGCAACAGGTAGCTATATAAAATTTAAACAAACATTATTTTGTAACTCCTTGTAAATATTGAGTACCGATAAAAGATTAATTAATAAAGGTCTATATACTGCTTATATAAAAAATATTGCTTATACATGACTTGGCTCTACCAGTGCATGAATGACCGAAAATCGGCTTGGCATGACTTGGTTAACATGTCTACCTTTTAATTACCACCCCAGACTGTTTTATGTTTACATCAACTATTACAAATTTATTATTTCTCAACAATTAGAGTTGATGATATCGTCGATATGATATGATATGTTAAATTACTGAATTTTAACCTCCCCAACGTTGCACATTCGTTACTTTAACATAGTGCCGACGATATATAGATTGAAATGGTCAGAAAAATGGCATCTACGTATACAGGTTTAAGCCAAGTGTGTCGATGATTTCTATAGGTTGAAAACAAAATTATAATAATGATGAAATCATCGTTGACCAGAATATTTAAGGATATGGTAAGCAGGCTAATTGTTGGAAAAAGATGGTGGTGTAAGCTTCCTGCTGAAGAAAATGAAACAAAACATCGTAATAATAAAAGAAAACATACAGAAAAACGAAATCTCAGCAATATGCTAACATAAGGGTTACAGCTGGAGGCGAGCTGCAAATAGATAATAGAGATATAATTGTTACCAAAGTGGCGTAAGGATGAATGGCAGTCTAAGACACCTTGGTGGTTTATTAAAACAACAGGAGAGATCATTTCGCTTCAGACATAAGAAAAAAAAAGATTCATTTAGAAGAAACGAATCATTTACTCAAGATTTATCAAATTTAAGTTACTTACTTAACAGTATCTATGGCTAGACTAAAACTAAACTGAAATAATTGGCACTATTTTGTTTACTATTTAGTTGATATTTTGCTTCAATTTTGTTTTATTTATTTATATTATCTATAAAAATGGTCTAGATGAACTCTTTCCTCGCTATCACAATTGCCCATAATTTACATTATATAAATTAATAGAACCACATTTCAATGATCACTTCATAGCTATAATTTTAAAAATATGAATTTGACAAACCATGAAATTTCCATTCTTATGCTTTGTAAGTAGGTGAACCCGAAATAAAACATTTAACACCTGCTATTTAACATGTTAAGCATTTTTTTTTTTTTTTTTTTTTGGGGCTGTTGGAATCAAATAGCCAAATAACTGTTTTGTTCCTATAATGGAATACTGTCACTTAACAAAAAAAAGATATATATATATATATATATATATATATATATATATATATATATATATATATAGACATAAGGAGTATAATATTTTAATGACAAATTGGTTAGGAAGCAGTAAATTAATTTTAATCACCTGAATAATTAGTTATACAAAATTTTTCGAATTGAAGTATTTCGCTGCTCTAACATCAAATCTGAACTTAAAACATTAAGTACAAAACAGCGCTTGTTATTTTTTTGCAACTTTAGTTTTCCTTCACAGATCTCTCATTGAAATATTGAAAGACTAAATTAATTAATCAGTTGTAATCTCATAAATTGGAGAGGTTGATCACTGTGAATTAATATTACGATTCTCAATTTTTAAAGACGTTTATATAACAATTATACTATTTTGTAGATTTGTATGACTATTACTATTTTTAGAAATATCTAAATAACGTAAAATAATAATAAATATATATTTTTTAATCTAGGTGCAGCAACTGTAAGAATAGCTATTCCAACGAACATGCAGTCAACGTTAATATTTCATTACAATTTAAAATTTTACGATAGTGATGGAGATTCCTATGATGGTATTAGTCTGAAGAGATTTGTAATGCAGGTAAGATACAGTTTCTCAATTAAATAAAATATAGGATTCGAATTAGGAGAACATCAATATTTAATATTTCGTGTATATTAAGGGCCATTCTTAATAATTTGGTTAGTTGTAAAATTTAAAATAAAATTTTGCTTGCTGGGGGTGGTATGAATAAAATACAGATAAGATATCAGATATTTTCTAGATCTGGGCAAAGAAGGAACAAGGGCAAGGAAGAGGCGAAGTCAACCTTGGGGGCGGGCACCCGGCCACCGTCGATCGTCGTGCGTTTTATTCGCAGGACCATGACGATTAGGTGTCACATATCAGGAGGAAAAAGTGATGACAGAATATATGTAGGTGGAGAGATGATCAATTACAATGGGCATCTTTGATGATTGGCAAGGAATAGGAAGGCTGCTGTGAATGTCAAATATGTATGGTTTCCTGAGGGCGTGTCCAGTGCCGACGTAACGACGGCCTGTCGTTATTATCAACTAACCTTCATCTATATCTTTTATATGTACTTCAATGATATGTGCAGAGTCGTTCCCTCTATTTCATTTTTTTTCATAGTCAGAGTGTTTAAATATTAAATTTTGTTTACAAGAATTATTTCATGTTTTGCGTTAATTTGAATACTATCAGTTTTATTTATCTATTGCAATTAGTCATACCTTACTATTTTTTTAAATCTTATGAATTTCTACCAATTAGACTATTTGACCATACTAGGCAAAGAATAGGAGCTTTCTAAAAGAAGAAACAAATAGGTTAAATAGACAGTTCCAATATATTAGTAAAATAAATATTAGACTATAATGTCAATATATACAATTCATACGAAAATAGATAAAATAGAAAGACCTAAACGTTACAATGTGTTTTTTTATGTTATAAATTAATCATATTTGTTAATAATTTTATTATTTTATTGGGGATCCATAGAAGTCCAGTTTTAATTTAAGATTGATGAATTATTATAAATGTTACGTCAATAATATATCATTGAAAAAGGAAGAACTTAGCAAAAGAAACGGATCTCATAAAATATATATCTTCAATTTTCAAATAAAATTTTAGGTTAAACATATTTCTGTGGTAGAATCGAAAAAATATGTGCAAACAAATGTTAGTAATAGTTATTCTGTTTTATTATATGATATTTGCTTGAATATGGTGTTCTACATTTTACTAATTGCTGTAATACGTAATATTAATTGTCAATTTATATAATTTTTTTCTGTTGGCATTATAGACTTTGTAGATCTCTTGCTGCCTTAGTAAGCCTACTCCATCTCTGCCTATTTTTTCATCTATTTCTTTCCAGTTAACTGCATGCAGCTCTTCTGTATCTTTAGTGATTCGATCTATCCATCTCCTTTTTGGTCTACCACGTGATCTTTTGCCTATTATTAAGACATTCATTGCCATTTAGAGGCTACCGGATGGTTTTCTCCGAAATATATTCCCCGCTTTCATATCATGAGATATTGACTGACCAGTTTCTAAAAGAAGCTCTCTTTCTCTTTCTTTCTTCTCCATCTATTAGTACTTTGATTCCAGATTGCTCCGGCTATCGTGAGGAAGATTTTTTTTTCCCAAATCTTTTAAAACGTTTTTTCTAGACCGCTGGCAAGTGTCCAGGTCTCGCAGCCATATAATAGAACTGGCTTAGCATTGTACACCCTTAGTTTGAATTTTTACGGTATTTCAGTATCTTTGAAAGGGAGAAGAAAGCAATGTTCTCTCGATTACTCCCAAGGACAGCTATATCATCTGCATATCCAAAGATTTTATGATTCATTCCGTCATGGAGCCCTCAATTTTCGTGTGATATCGTTCTTATCACTTTCTCCATCGCTAAGTTGAACAACATCGATGATATTCCATATCACTACCGTTAGCCCTTTTGAACTTTGAAGGCTTCAGATATATCTACTTTTATTAGGACTCAACATTTACGGTCATTTGTACACGCCTTTGTCAATCTCATCAACGTACCGGGAACACATGATTTTCCAACCAAAACAGTTCTTGTCCACAAAAGCATAAGCTGCTTTGAAATCGACAAATAAAGCGTGGACGTCATTTTTTTTTAGGATGAAGATCTAGTCCAGAGTTCTCCTTCCTTTCCTGAATCCAGCATAGTGGTCATCTATTATATTTTCGTAATACGGATATATCCGGTTTAATAGTGCATTGTTCATTATCTTGTAAGTAACCGAGAGGAGCGCTATGTCTCTCTATTTACTACTCTCACACATGGAACCTTTCTTTGGAATAGGGCAGATTAGGCCCGTATTCCAAGCTTCTGGTATTCTTTCCTCTTCCTATATTTTGTGGATTAGATAGATAGATAAATAGAAAACAACTTTATTCTAGGACAAAGTCCCTTTAGAATAACGAAATTGTATAGAAAGAAAAGACTACTTCTCTTCTAAAAATTTGAAACAATAAATACAATTTTAAAAAAAAGTAAAGAAAACCTTAACTTAACAAGCTCTCACTGCTGTCTTGTGCATATAAGATACTATCTCATATTCTGTTTAGAGGTCTTTTTCCATATGCTGAACGTGAGCTCGGTCCGTACCAGAGTGGGTTTAGGAAAGGAAGATCCACCTCTGATCAAATGTTCTGTGTGCGAACCATTCTTGAAAAGGGCCATGAGTATAAAATCAAAACTCACCATCTGTTCATCGATTTCAGTGCAGCGTATGACAGCACAATACGTGAAAAACTGTATTGTGCCCTCAGAGAATTTAACATACCTGAGAAACTTATAAATTTCAAAAAGCTAACCATGAAGGACGTGAGATGTATGGTTAGAGTGAATGGTGACAGATCAGAAGGATTTCGCGCAGGCCAAGGACTTCGACAAGGGAATGCACTGACCTGTATGTTGTTTAACCTAGCACTTGAGAAACATTTTTATCAGGCTTGTCCAACTATTGGCCTATGCAGATGATATAGACATTGTGGGACGCTCCCTGCAGGCCGTGATTGATGCTTTCCTGGTACTGACGGGTCATGCCAGCAAACTTGAACTGGAAGTTAATGAGTCCAAAACAAAATATATACTAACAGAAGAAATTCCCAAGCTAGGTGAGACAGTTACTATTGGACTTCGTAAATTTGAGAAAGTTTCGGGGTTCACTTATCTGGGATTCGTAGTCACTTAGGATAATAACTCCGACATTAAGATAAGAAGAAGGATCATATCAACCAACAAGTTCTACTTTGAATTTTGAACAAGCAACTAAGCAGGCGCATACTTTCATGACAGACAAAGATCCACCTGTACAAGACATTGGTGAGTCCCATATTTCTTTATGGATCGGAGTGCTGTACAACTTCGAAGGCCGCTGAAAAGGAACTTCTTATTTTTGAAAGAAAGTTCTCCGGCGTGTTTTGGGGGAAGTGAAAGTTAGAGAGGAGTGGAAGAGGCACACAAACCAAAAGCTGTACAATGCTTTCGAAAAAGCTGAAGTTGTGAAAGCAATGAAGTTGAGGCGTTTAAGATATGCAGGGCATTTTGCCAGGATGACAGATGGAGAAATGCTTAAATTATGCCCTATTGCTTGCCCAGCCAATCCATGAAACAAGAAGAGGGAAACCAAGGTTAAGATGTTAGTGTGGTATGACAGGAGACGCCTGCAGCATGCTGGGAGTTAGTAATATACTGGATGGCGTCGGCGCAAGATCGTGACAATTGGAGGAAACTGTTAGAGGAGGCCATGACCTGTAACCTGGTTGTAGTGCCGTGCAATAATAGTAATAATAAGTGAAAAACAATAAAACTATGTTTTATCTTTTATCTAATATATAATTAGTTGTAGTAACTTGGCTCTTAAGTCGTATCCCCCATCTTTAAACAGTTCTGATGGTAGATTGTCCATCCCTGGGGCATTTCTTGTTTTAGGCCTGTTAATAGCTATATTTTTTTGTAATCTTATTTATTGAAAAATATTACAATCTGTCTCAAGGACATTTATAATAGTGTTCACAGAAATAGCTATTTCTAAATCCAACATTCCACATCCAGTATATCTGGGCTTTCAACCACTTCTGGATCGAAATCCTCAGTGTAGTCCAAGTCTACTTCGTCCGTGAGATCCCAGTTTGATCACTTTGATACTCTGATTGAGAAGCTCCTGGAAATAATTTATATATTCTCGGTACTAATTTTATCTGTCGTTATTATCTATGGTTGAGTATTTTTAAATTAAAGTTATGCATATTAATTAATGTATGAGCACATTAAAGCTTCGTTATTTTAATTTATGAATCTTTCATTTCAATGTTAAAGAAAATTTTGAATTTAAGTGAATGAATTTCTAATTATTTATTTCATATAACTCCACTATAATCATATTTGTTTAAATATAAATTTATTTTACTCACGAAAATTTAACGGAATTTTGAATATACATTTTTTTTTCTATATATCTCCTATGATACGCTCATAGTCTATATATCATAGCTCAAGAAACCTTGCTTAAACAAAACAATAATATATGTCAAGTAAGGTTATACAACTTTAAAAAACATTTAAGTAAAAACTATATAGTTTAATAAAATCGATTTAATTAAACTACATCTTCAATGGGACAGGTAAGTGCGAAGATTATTCTATGCCTTAAAATGAAGGGGAAAAAATCAGTAGGTTTGCTAAGTTGGGAATTCTACTCTAATAATCAGAGTCATTCAACTATAAAATAACTATCCGACATACGTTATCCTAAGTATATCGCAAGCTTCGCAGTCAAAGAATCCGGACTTATGAAGTAAAACCTATGTTTTAAATATCTTTATTGATATATATTACAATCTGTCACATCAAAGGACAATAGTAATAGTGATATAAGAGTAGCTCATTCACACTATGTACAATAAATAAACAGGAAAATAATAGTAATAAAAGTAAATGTAAATAAACTGAAAGGAACTAAACAAACCAAAATAACTACTTAAATACACACATGCTTTTATACAATATTTTAAAAAAAATCATCCACTAAAGATTTCCGAGCCAAGCTCCCCCCTCTCCCTCTTACACTCGTGGAAGAAAAAGCAGGACTCTAGAAGATTTCAGCGCCTCTCACTCAGCCGCATTACTGCTTTTAAGGACAAGGCTGAGCAGAGGCACTATAACCAGACATGCATGGTTTGAGTGGATAATCTGGCCATTGGCAGAACTACAATATATGCTTATGACAGATCACTGGGCCACTGCCGCTTCGAGGAGGATTGTAAGGATGGGTAAAGCTTCATAAGGATTGTGCAAAGGGATTTGGATGATAAGTAAGGTTTCGATGGAATTTGGAAAAATTTTCATGAATAAGATCTAGGACAATTGGGACATTAAGGTCATGGTGAAGGATTTTATTGGTTA